GGTCCAAAGTGATATGTTTTTTGTGTTTTAAACAAAACAAGGAATGTACTACATGTAACACATGTAGTACATTCCTATGTAATACGAGAAAGGAAGCAAGCTTATATGAATCAAATGAAATGTGCAGAGAAGATGAAATCTGATTTAACTAAATTTGTTGATGTTCAAGTCATTGACACTGTTTTGATTGACATTCCAAAAGTTGATCGAGGACCATTAGATTTCAAAAATATAATATATGGTTGGGTCTTCTGCTGGTATATTAAAGGATTGGTTGACCCGAAACTCAATTCAAAAAGCAGATACAACATTCACAGATTCAGTGCCACAAATTGAACTTTCACTGCGAGAGGTAGCTGGAATAGTTTCTACATATGAGGAGCAAGGCTTTAAAAACAGTAATTGTAAAAAAAAACAAAGGTCCAGTGCAAATTCAAAAGATGTATTTGCCAGAAACTAAATGTAATTCAAGGCGCCACAAATCACTGCCTTTGTTTGAATAAATAACGAGGTTTTCCCATTTCAAATTAAGTATGTAGTCGAACCACACATACTTTTAGAGGTCTATATTTCTTTTGTTCTTTTTAGTTGACTAAACTTCATTGTCTAAAAAATGCATCAGTTCTTTGAAATTTTGTTTTATTACTTCATTCACTTTTCACTTCCCTAGATTTAGTTCAGTGAAACGACATATGGAGTATTTTATACTATTATTTTGTCATATCACTAACATTTTTTACCCGGATTATGTGGTATCCCTATGAATTTCGTAAAATCTCTATAATTCTCATTTCCCTGTGACATAATATATAGATTAATAGTTAATAACTAAAACCAAACTGCGATGGGAAACGTGTACTAAAAAAGAATTTAAAAAAATACTACGATGCTATAATTTATAATAAAAATAAAAATGAGTTGTATGTAAACACAGTGTTATTACTAAGATATCCTCAAATGTATGTGTGGTTTAATTTTCAACTTTTCATCATATTTTAGGGAATTCGTCATATTATATACAGGAAAGTACAAACAATAGTTGTTAGATTTATATTTTCCTTCAAAGGGAACTAATTTATTGTAAAAATACTGGAGCACTCCTTAAAAATATTTTGCAAATATGCTGCGTACTTTATTCTAATAATAAAAAAGTTTAAGTAGGCAATTTTAGTAATAGTTATTTATGGTTAGATGTGTTGTAGTTTTTCCACTATTGCAACTGTATGAGAAAAACATTTGGATGGGGAGTGCCCTGAAATTGAGGAAATACGACAAAAGGGGTTCTTTTTAGTGGTAAACGTGTAAACTCGTATCTCCTAAAGTTTATACTGATCAAATCAATAAGAGAGAAAGTTATTGTTCTCACTCCGGTTTTTGGAAATCGAGTTCTCTTCAGATCTCGACGTTTCGAGGTCCTAGCAACCTATTCTAGCTATTTTTGCAATGATGTTCGTATGTCTATAGGTATGTGTGCATGTTTGTATGTGCTGTGCCCAGTACCTCGTATCCCCACTCTTCAGCGTCTTCGTAGAGTTTTCTACCAAGAGGTGTGATTATCGCGGAGCCACAAGCAGGATGTTTTGCGTTGAGGTCTCCGGCGATAATTGCAGGTGTTGTTGCATTAAAAATCGTCCTTAGATCCTGGGTAACGAGGTACCGGGAGGTCTATAGTCTCTATAGGTGGCGAAGATCCACGTGTCCGTGGTTCCCACCCTCATCCTTATACCCTTTGTCCTCGTAGATATGAAATCTTGTATTGTATCAACTTCTTCGTGCATGACGTCTCTCCTCACAAGGACCGCAGTACCTCTGTACGCGATATCTTCCGGAGAGATCTCGTCATGTCGGAACACGAAGAAGTTGGGGAGCTTCAGTTTTGCAGAGTGGTGCAGTTTTGTTTCCCCCAGCAGCATAGCCTGGACTTTGTGCTGCTGGTAAGTCGGCGAACCCCCTGTGATGCCGCCGGGGTTTCAAAAATAGATCTTAATTTGATGGCCCTCTGTTAAATGTTGTTAGTTGAGCTAAGGTGCTAAGTATCACCGAGAGAGGGTTGGTGCCGGTTGTCATGACTCTAAGGACTTCACCCAGGATTTTTATGGCTACTCTCACCAATTTAACGAGGGCTAAGATAAGGTATTATATTGATTGTAAAATACAATCTGTCTCTTACGTGGTAAAGCGACACTGCATCTATATTATAGTTGAAGCAAGAATGGGTCGGCTCAACGGGGCAGGACCACGCTCTCATAGAAAACCAGCGTAAAACAGCAGCGTAATGCTGCTGTGTTTCGTATGGTGAATGTAGAGAACCGGAGACCCTTTTTATTGGAATCGAGGCATTCCGTCTTAGTCCTCAGTGGCTAAGATGGATAGATGGATGCCAACGTATTTGCATTTTGATTCTTAATTGAGAATAAATATGGAAGTCTATGGGCTACGTCCCCAAATGCTATAAAAAGTAACGAGAACCAACAAAGCGTAGTTAAGTAATTGCATTACGGACTGTCTAAAAATTACAAAAGTTGCGACTGAAAACTTCGTCATCCATCGAACTCGCCAGACTTTAGGCTATTATTTTCCGTGTTTTTTCGGAATTCAGATTACAGAACTATTTACAGAACAAAAAATGTATCTCCACTGAGAATGATTTTATATAAAATAAGGATTTGGAAATGACAGGAACTTTTAATAAACACTAGAACGAACGGACGAACGATCGAACTAGAAGAACTCTAGGCTATTTAGTCCTATATCGTAGAGGTACGAGTATTTACGTGCGTAAATTGCTAGACAAATATCCAGATCCAGAGTAATGCTTTGTACGGCATACAAACAGTTATTCGCGCAGGATTCGTACTTGATATCCCACAGCCCCTCAGCCAAATGCATAGATAATGCGCTTCTGGGCAAGTATTTAATGAATAATTCATTGATTCCCATCCACATAAGTTCTACACTAAAGATATCAATGAACTCCATTCTAATTACATAAATGCTGTGACTTTAATGGCCGATACTTCGAAAAATTAAATACACTTATAATCTTCATAATAATAAAGTTGTTTTTTTTTTAAACTATAGTTTGATATGCTGTACCTACGGTCCTTATTCGTGATAACTTGCTCTTAAGTAGTATTTTTTATAAGAATATGACTTACCCATTTCCCTGTCAGTCTTTACCAGCAATGATTTATTCGTTACATAGCTAAAGCCTGTACCGACTGGATGATCGATCAATAACAAATTTCTGCCCTTTACCTAAAATAAACACTTGACTATATTTATATTTTCGTTTTTTGTTTAAATGGTTGGGCGATGCTTTTATAGGATAATAGAGTTGACTAATAATATTACGAATACAACCGTTCATAATAATATTACGATATTATGTTTATGTATGTTTGAAAAGTCTCATTTCAACGATACTTTTCGAAGATTTCGAGATGATTGATTACTTTTAATGTAAAAATAACACTACATAAATGAAATACAAATTTTGAAAATCAATAACCTAATTGCGATTTCCTTTAAAAACGTAATAATTAAAAAAAAGGTGGCAATTATCTGAGGCTTACCCATGTATGATTGCGTGGTTGCATATTCATATTGAGGGGACCGATTTCAGCAAAATTTGCTATCCCACTAGACGATAATCCAGGACCGCCTTGTATCCATATAATAAGAGGTTTTCGATCAGCACCAGTAGAAGTTCCATCAGCATAATAAAACCAATAAAATAGATACGCACCGGGACGAACTTCAACATATTGTTGAATACTTTTCCATTTATAGGCATTTATAGCCTTCAAATAAGGATTTTCTTCTGTAATACAGAATATTATTTTAATAATATATATTTTTTAATTAATGAATCTACGAACGTATTATAATAAATAACTGACATACCTTCGCATTTCAAATACCCCGCCAAGCATACGAATGTTAACAAACGTATGAAGGTCACAAACATTTTATTCACAACTAAAATTACACAGTGCTACAAAGCTACCGTGCACCACTGAGTCACTTAGACACATTTAAATACAACGAAATAACACATCGTAATATGACAAAGCTGATGTCATCAAAACACTGCTATTTAAATTAATTAATCACAAATGAACCAAAAAAATACCGACACATTATGTTCAAAACGCTGCTGGTAAATGTCGTACATTGCTAGCACACCACGCGCTGTCACGCACTCACGCAAACATCACATCAGAGATACGTACGTGGGATATTATCCTATTCACTAATCTTAACCACACCTGTTACGTTAATTTGGACATTTACCCGCCTGCAAATAAGTGTAGGTACCAGTTGGTCGTTCGCAATTTTGAAGCATATTAAAACATCAGTAGTGTGCTCTCACAAACACTAATGTAAAGTTAGACCAGTTTCTTGCATTAAATATAACATGTTCTTTAGTAAAACAAAATCTGTTTTGGTATAACGTTTATTTTAAGAACAAATCAATGAATGACCCAAATATGCCGTTGTTGGCGTCATTAATTTTTCGGTTTCTCGGTCGTCTATTAGAGTTTGTCGGTGCTTCGGAAGATAGCATCGAGTAATGGACACTATTTATATATTTAGAATTGAGTTTTGACGTAGTTTCTGGCGGCCTGTTCGTGGGTGTTACTTGTGTAACCCCAACTACATGACCCAGTGAGCCCCCCACTATACCCGGTCGGTAAGTCATATATATTTCTTGTCCATCTTCGTGAACAGGTTTGACGTAATCTGAAAGAAAGTGAATCCTGTTATTAAAGCCTCCAGTCCAGTTCATCATTTATGACTACGGCTTTTATTATGTATTCCGTGATACTTGCGTAAATCGTTGCATTATACCTTCTGCGAGCTTAAACAGAGCTTTTACTTTATTGAATCCTCAAGTTGTAACCAATTATCTTTTATATTTATTTACTATCTTTTATTATTACGAATATTGACTTCGTGGAATTCGATATCGAATTTTCCATATTCTTAATAATATTTCACAAACCTGATGGGTTAAGATGCAACGGTGGACGGTAAGCATTATTACCGAACAAACCACCTGACCAGTAGGGTGGTTGCGTTGGCCTACTAGTAGGTCTTCCGGGATAAATCGATATAGGCCTCTGCGATGTTGAAAGACCATAACCCGTACTTGGTCTTAAGAGGTTGAAGAAATTCCCCAAGAAGAATCTGTTATCTAAGTTGCCTTGCCTTCTTCCAGATTCTGCCGTTGCTGCAAATATTTAAAACATGTTAACAATCACAAAATAAACCGTTTACTCTAAGAAATAATCTAGGAATATTCACTACCTCATACTATTGCCCGTGGATGTCGTAAAAGGCGATAAAGGGAAACAAATTAGGAGATGGTCGGCAGCTTCTAAAAAATAATAATACCTCAGTCGCCAATCAGCCTGGCAAGCGGGACTACTATAATAAATATCCCCTTCCTATACGGGAAGTCTATGATCAGCCCTTTTGAAATATTGTATCGGTAACGGATGCTAACAATTACCGAGTAACAGACGTGGTAGAGCCACTCTGCAGCTATAATATGGTTGTACCACGAATAGAGCGACTCCACCGGGGAAGGACCACGCTCTCACAGAATAATAGCGTAAAATAGCAGCTCAATGCTGCTATGTTTCGTATGGTGAGTGTAGAGAACCGGAGACCTGTTTTACTGGAGTCGAGGCATTACATCTTAGTTCTCAGGGGTGACAACGCATCTGCATTTTGATTTTTAATCGAGGTTAAATGTAGATGTCTATGGGTCACAGCATCCACTTACAATCAGGTGGACTGTGTGCTCGCTTGTCACCCTTATTATATAAAAAATAGTCCAACAAATCAGCAACCTGAATTGGCAATGGGCCGACAATATAGCTCAAAGGTTTATTGTTGCCACCTAATGGCGGTGCCTGCACTGCTGTACTTTGTATAGAGAACCAATCTCAGAAGTGACAACGGAACTGTAGTCTTTTTCATTTGAATTTGTCTGCAGAAGTTTGTGATCTGGTGTAGCCACAGAAATCGTAATATTTCACTATGTCTAGCTAATTTGCGCCGATGTGAGGTGAAATTAGTAACAGTCGCTTGTTCATGCAATGCAAAGCGTGGCGCCGCTGCCAAGACAAGCAAGCGGGCGGGTTCGAGCTGGCATCGCTAAAATGGCCAACGCCAAGCCGTCGCCAAGTGAGGTAAAGTTAAGTACGTTCTAATAGAATTTAATATGTTATAATTGGCGACGCTGCCGGCGTCGATGCCATGGCATCCTAATGAGATAGGGCTCTTATCCGGACCTTTATCAACACTGTAGTATCTGTTCGCAAATTGTTTATTTTGCACCCTTACGCTGCCACAACGTTCTATTATACAATATGAGTCCTCCAATAATGACAAAAGAAAGAAATACCTAGTTTGCCCCAGTAAGCATAGGTATCTAAAGACATGATTTTTACATAGATTTTTCTGCTTCGTGGGAGGTTACCTCTAATAATAAGATATACATGTAAACAAGAATTACAGAATTGGTTCCTAAATATCGATTATAGGGATGCAGAAAATCTACTGACAGTATTATCCTAAAAACACACAACCTGATATAAATAGACACAAAATTACACATATATATAGAGATCATTCCTTTTTGAAATACTTGTTATTTTTGTACCTACTTTTTTTGTAGTACCTACCAATATTTGAAAATATAATATGTGCAATCAGGTGAGGGCCTGGTGACCTACTTATAACACAAGGATAACCTTAACATACCTCACCAGTCTCTCACAAAAGTCGCATGTTGTCTACAACCGTATTGTTTAGGTAATTATGTGTAATTTTATACCTTTGCAAAGAGGAAATTATAATTTTAAAAAAATATTTTATTATTTCATTATTTAGCATCAGGTGTGCTGTAAGTTCGTTTATCACTTCAATTTCATTAAAAAAAAATAACCGACGTCCCATCGGAAACAAAGGTTCTCGAGAAAGTGAGAGAAAAGTATCAAAAGTGAGTCTCGTATAAAGTAAAATACGTAAGCTAAGTGCAGGGCCGCCTCTGACTTTACTTATCTGCCCAAACTAGATGGACTGTTTATCTGGTATATACTTAAGCGGGAACTCGATCGCTGCAGGTTCACGGCCATCCTTGAACGAGGATAATGTTCCAAAGTGTACGTGAAGGGCTTTAATTAAGGTGATGATGATGAGGCTTATATATCTTTTGTATGAAAACTTAGGACCCAAAAACAGTTAAGAATTATATTTTATACTATTTTTAATATGACTAAATCCTTGATCTATTTATTTTTTAACTTTGGATACAAAATTAAAAGTTGTAAGAGTGGTATGTATATATGTGGGGACCTTATACAATTAAGTAACTGATAATCAACAATAACATATAACGTCGTTTAAGAGAATTATTATTTTATTTAAGAGTAAAAGCAAAACCATATGCCTACCTCAACGGAGGCTAGCTATCGGCGCAGGACAAGACTATAGTGCCCAAGTGTATGCGCAAGCACAGGAGCACACTCTATTCCCTCACTCTCATAATCCGATGGGAAGGTAAACCGACACGACCGGAGAGAGATCAGGCGCAGTACCAACGGCTTTACGTGCTTTCCGAGACACGGGGGTGAAACACCGCCAACTTCCAGACTCCGGGCAGCTACTGAGAATTTTTGACAGAAAAACTCAATAATTGAATATTGGCCCGACCCGGGATTCGAACCCAGGACCTCATGATCAGCAGTCGCACTACTACAACCACTAAACCAACGAGTGTATATAATGTGAATCTAAACTATCTAGGGACCCATTCAAACACACACAATAAAAATATGTCATTAAAATCGGTCGAGTAGTTTTTGAGTTTTAGCAAAACTAACGAACACCTTTATACGTGGTAGAGCCACACTGCAGATATATTATGTTAGTTTTACTGGAATCGAGGCATTCCATCTTAGTCTTCAGGGGTGACAGCGCATCTGCATTTTAATTCTTAATCGAGGTTAAATATAGATTTCTATGGACCACAGCATCCACTTATTATCAGGTGGACTGTGCGCTCGTTTGTCACCCATATTCTATAAAAAAACACCTATTGTCATTATACACGTCAACTCATTTCAGTTTGCCATAAAGCCCTATCTTGAGCTTATACATAGAAATAGTTATAATAAGACAATATTATTACGATTTCTGTGAGTGTATACAACAGTACACAAAATACAACAGTAGTAAATAGCTTTATTAATTAATAGAAGATAGCCTTATATTACGTACAACACAAATTGTGTTATTTCCTTTTTGATATGACGCATAATGTCTTTCTACAGGTTCCTTACAAATTCACCGGTACATACTCGCGGACAAGAGGTAATACTGGTATTGTAGCAGTTGCATCGAAAATATACTACGAATATTTAATAAAGTTTGTGGAGACTTCATAAATCAGAAGTTAACACAGCTTTACCTAGAAACCTCAGCCTCAGCAGACATGGGAAACGAAAAGTACAAAACTATTAAGTCCCTCTTCTTCTGCTCTCAACTCTAGCCTAAAAATGAATCTATTCAATGGCCCGTAAAACAGAAAAAAAAATACAATGAGCATTCTTTCTTGTGCTCTTCTTTACCAGTTTTTTCAACGCTTTGCTAGATGAAGTTTTTTTTAAGATTTCACCAATTGGAACACAGAACTTGAAAATGCCCGTACTCTCCATATGGGGCGGACAAGGTGATGAGGACAGAGCTGATACTCCAGCGCTAATGATGATATTTTCCAATAATGATCTTTGGTTCAGCATTTTTAGATATATAATAGTGGCCTACAGACTAAATTTCGGCCACGGCAGCCTTACTCAACGGAGACCAGCCATCGGCGCAAGACAGAATTATAGTACCCAAGTGTATGCGCAAGCACAGGTGCACTCTCTATTCCCTCACTCTCATAATCCGATGGAACGGTAAACCAACACGACCGGAGAGAGATCAGGCGCAGGATCAACGGCTTTACGTGCTTTCCTGACTCCAGGCAACTACTGAGAATTTCTTGACGGAAAACTCAATAATTAATTTTTTGTCCCGACCCGGGATTCGAATCCAGGACCTCATGATCAGCAGTCGCAATACTGCAACCACCAACGAGGCAGCCAGAGTTTAGATATATAATATTATATCGTCTTCTACATTAACAGAGTGCACTACACGTAGAGGATTTTTATACGTGGTAGAGCCATGCTGCAGTTATATTAGTATAGTTGTAGCACGTATGGGTCGGCACGACCGAGGAAGGACCACGCTCTCACAGAATACCAGCGTCAAATAGTAGCTTAATGCTGCTGTGTTTCTTATGGTGAGTGTAGAGAACCGGAGACCAGTTTTACTGGAAACGAGGCATTCCATCTTAGTCCTCAAGGGTGACAACGCATCTGCATTTTGATTCGTAATCGAGGTTAGATGTAGATGTCTACGGGCCACAGCAACCACTTACCATCAGGTGGACTGTGTGCTCGTTTGTCACCCTATCCTATAAAAATAAATCACTTAGCAAACAGTTCGACGATCACATTAACAGACGTCTCAAGCCTTTAAAGCTAGTCACCATCGCTAATCTAGCATTTTCTATCTTACAAATAGGTGATGGTTATACCGCTATCCAACGATAGTTTAATATCCCTCTGGCGTTTGCTAAAGTCTCCTCTTATAACACTCATGGAGCGAAGTAAGATGATTTTGTTACGTCACCACTTACTTGATTAATTGATAATTTTAGGTTATGTTAGAAGAGGATTAAGAAGATTTAACTGTTTTAACATCTGACTTTAATTTAGAACGAATAGCCGCTTACCAATAACAAAATAGGTACCCTACGGTGAGTATCATAGTAATTATTTGTGATAAATAGACATTTGATTTAAATAAATAACATTTAACTATATTTTTAATTCCAACAATATTTAAAATAAATTAAGGTTAGATAATTAAATTAATTCCTTACCGGAACCGACATCATTTTCGTCGTAGTCATCTATCTCTCCGCAATCATCTGGATCATCTGCTTGCGGCTGCTCTTGTAGGTTACCAGGCCCAACACCTTGAAAACTATCTGGTGCCAGTAAATCGTAAAACGCTCCGAAAGTACGTCCGGTGGCATAATTTCCGGCGACTATCTTCCGATGTGGTGCTATTTTATTCGTTGGACAAAGTGATGGATTTACCGTGACCGCTTCTATCGTAACGATGAGCGTTAAAATCTGTAGACGAATTAGGTATAGGTATATAATTGTTACGATTTCTTTATTTAATTTTTAACACAATTAATTGATGCCTACGTTTATTATTTTGGGCAGAAGTAAAATAATTCCTGGCTTATATACCATTGTAACAAAAACACTTATTTGCAAAAACAAAAATAAAATGTAGGTACTAGTTATCTTAGATGTCCAACAATTCTGACTGAGAAAGCAAAAGTTACTCTAACCAATCCTCTTGGTCTCCCACGCACACACTGAATGAATTTAAATCCTTGAGCAATGACCGCCCCATAAACGAAAAACCGAGTATTGTAACGGAAAGTAACGAAACTGATCCGAAAATTGTGCGTATTAAAGGTAATAAGCATAATTTAGTATATCTGACAAGGCCTTACCGTTTTAGCTGTCACATTTTTATTATTTGTGACGACCACGTGTTTTTGTCAGAGTACCTGACTGCAAATGCGCAATCCGTGGTCAGAACCCAGCCTAAACCAATACTTAAATCGATAAATAGTCGGTACAATAAATTGTTGATATTCAAATCCGGATTTCTTGAGGTTAGATAAACAATTATTTTAAAACCTTAAGGTTACGACCTAAATACGTACCAATTTCGGACACAGGTCTGCTCCCATTTTTGTGAGGATGATAGAGCTGTCAGTACTTTGCGTTATTTCAGTTCAGTCGGACAGACTACAATTCTTCCAATTTTAACTTATTTTTATTTCCAAGGCTACAATTTTATTTTAATTTACATACAATATTAAAAAAGCTACAATAAGGAACAACTAAAACTAAAAATTTTAATTGCCACAAAGTTCTACTCCCCATGGTATCTTGTCGCTGGCTGCGTTTCCTCGCTGAATAGCTATACTTATCCTAAAAGCGAAAAAAGAACTAGCTCTGTTATCACCAGCAGCGACGACCAGGGGCGGATACAGTTCCTTTTAGAACTTCACCGCACGTGGACCCCACGGATCGATAGTCTCTACAGAAAATGGTACAAATATGTAGTCATTTCTAAAAGAGCTACCCTTGAGATGAGGGACCGCCAAAGTATCTACGCAAGTAACATCCCACACTAAGGCTTTACCTCTCTCCCAAGGGACCAAAGTCATACCGTCGGGTCTATTGCCATCGTCTCTAAATATCCCGCAAGGCTCTAAAACTGAGGGAACATTTATAGAGACAAGAGCCCTTTGGATGACTTGGTTCAAAGAATCGTGACGGGAAAACCTACCTGCACTTTTCTTACGTGAAAGTCCGTGGAGCCCAAACTCATCGCCGCTGCTACCACAGGGGCACTGGTGAGGTTGACAAATTGCCGCTCTCAGACGGATTCTTAAGGCAATGCGCAAGCTTCCCCATCGAGCAACGTGCCGAGTTCCTTGATGGTACAACGTGTATTATTATTTTAAAATAAAATGAAGCTGAAGTTTTACCGAGTGACAATAAACGAGTAGTAATGTTGTTAGAAAATCCATCACACCATTTCATCCCGTGAATGCCGTAAGTACTGACTTTAGAAAATGCCAGCAATATATTATTGCTTCTAATAGATAGTGTGTAATTGTGTATCCATTTTTTATGCCAAATCTAAAACAGCCAAAACTGTTGCATTAAAGGTGCGAGATATCCGGTACTGCAGTCCAGGCATCACCTGGAGTCACCTGTCAACCGTGTCTCGTGATTAAGACGACACCTCGAAATAGTGACTCCAGGCTATCGCCGTACTGATTCGAGTGAATACATAATTTCTATAAAACTTGAAAAAAAACGCCATCATAAGGTCTAAAATTACGTAGCGCTCGCGACGAATAAAACCGCTTAGAAATTGTCAAATTATGAATATTGATGTTATGAATATATTTGAGTGATTCCCAAGCATATAGGTTAAGTAATTTCGTTGTAATTTCAACTATAGTGATTTTTAAAGGTGTTTTCGCAAATAATTATGATCGAGTCAAAATTATACAATCGTGTTTTTGAACAATCAAATTCAAGATAAAGACATAAATTTACCTATATCAAAATTCCACTTTCGTTAGTGGTGTCATAGTCCTATACTATTCGATGACAGAAGGTGCATTTTTTCGCTGTGTCGCCTTAAGGCGAATCTTTCTTATACATCAGAGGCTATTTAAACATATATTAAATATCAAATAAAACATATAATATAATAAACAATAAATTATGGTCTTGTTTTCATGATCCATTAAATACTCCAAATGTTACTCATCGTGCTAGGAATATGTATAGTGCCACAAACACCCACAATAACACTCACTCTATTTAAAGTACTCTTATCTGTTATTGTTATGTTTAAGCAATAGGTTCGGGGTTATTTTTAACTTAATAGGAGTAAGAGCGACAAACGAACACATATTCTACTTGATGGTGTGCTGTAGCTGGGCCATAGGACATCTGCATCTATCTACCCTTTATTAAAATCAATGCAGATGCGTTTTGATGCGCCTGAAGGCTAAGATAGAATATTTTTTATAATACTGAAGTAACAAACAAGCTTACAATCCACCTGATGGTAACTGGCTACTGCAGCCCATGGACCATGGACCTAGAAAAAATGGCGTACGCCGTCTTTTTAAACAATTACTGACGCACCCATAGTAAGTCAGTTCGCTAATACAAACAAGCCGGCACGCACACATGCACACCATAGTAAGTCTACCGCACGCCATACACTCCAATCGGCGCTCGCGTAGTTACTGACACATAGTTAAACGGCCGCCATTGCGGTGTGTCAATTGTTTCTTAGCGACACTCTGTCCGCCGTTTTTTCTAGGTCCATGCCATGGACACAGGCGCTCAAAAAAAAGGTTCACTCAAAGAAGTACACACTCTATAACCTTTCAGACATTAACACAGCAGTACAGGCGCTGTCATTTGGTGGCAGAAATAGGTTAGAGGGTGATTCCTACCCAGACGGACTCCTAGACAAAAAAGGAGTCCTACTTATACTAAAAGCATCGATATATATGTACTACGCACTAGATATGGCATTCCGAACACTCACTATGTTCAACTGAACTGTACTGCAATCCATACACCTGTTATTGCGGCTTCGTTATTCATACAGTAAGGAGCGGCGCTAATAATCATTTTTTAAATTAGCACATATGCAAAATAAACGAAAATTAAAAAATTTACGCGATTAACAATACAATCTAAATAAACAATTATTTACTATGACAATTTTCGCGCGTTTATATCAATTGCGTATGCGCGACTCTACTGTTTCCCGCGCATGTGCGGATACAGAATAGTGCACATTTTTTGTTTTGAATAGCTTCTCTAATACGTAGTACATATAACTCAATGACTAAAAGTAAAACAAAACTAATAGTGGCAACATAGAATACTGTAATACACAGTAGAATGGCTGTCGACCTTATTTTGTACGACGATAGGCATCGTCGGGAGCACACATAAAACCAATTACGTCGTATTACCAGTTAATCACTACTACAAACCTGATTTGCTATGTTGACAGATTTTCTAATAATTTGCATGCGAAATTTGGAAACTACTGTAACGTCAAAACACATCTCGTGTTGACACATATGCGTGTGAATTGACGTGTTAGTGGCATTTTAGTGGCTACACGGGCTCCGCCCACTCCCCCGTTCTATTATGTATGTATTATAGTATTCTATGGGTGACAATGATAATGCACTCGATTGTGGGAGAGATACACTTATTACTAACAACTGACTAAAAATTAAGAACTAATCGTATTATAAGTAAATGATTGACTTCTATTCAAAATGATGGTTAGAGGTGATGAAGCTCTTGATAGTAAACGTATATAATATATCAGCGTATATAAAAGCCTAATCACACTTGCTATAACGACACCCAGATTGTAATTTATGTACCTAATTGGTTGCAGCATGAATGGGTCTGCTCGACCGGGGAAGGACCACGCCCTCACAGAATACCAGCGCAAAATTGTGCTGCTGTGTTTCGTATGGTGAGTGTAGAGAACCGGAGACCCGTTTTACTGGAATCGAGGTATTTCATCTTACTTCTCAGGGGTGACAACGCATCTGCATTTTGATTCTCAATCGAGGTTAAATGTAGATGTCTATGGGCCACAGCATCCACTTACCATCAGGTGGACTGTGTGCTCGTTTGTCACCCTTATCCTATAAAAAAAGAAAAAATCGGATGGAGAGACACATGCCGTATCCATGTACGACCGGATCTGTATTTTATCGAAGGTAAAAAAGCGGTCGCAAGGACACAGTTTGCTGGCAGATTTTTTTTTCTTGGACTCAATAAACCTAACCCGTTTAATTTTTGTCTTCATCTTAGTCACAATTTCGGGCGTTGTTAAACTCCTAAACACATCTGATATGAAATCGTAAAGTCAGTATTTCATATTGCAATATTCACGTAACTTTATGAAATCAATGTATTGTGTCGACCACCTTGTGCTTATGTAAATGACACCAAAATGACACTATTTCTCTATGGCGATCATATCATATCATCTGCACAGCCTTTGTTTTATTACGATGTCTTCAAGTAAACTCCAAATGCAAATTTGTGAGTAAGCTTTTGAGTAAATAAAGTATTATTGTTATTTTAGGGTATTTATATAGTATTCTCATCTAGTTGGGCTGTATATATAAAAATGATATTTAAGATAAAATGAAATATTTATGTTGAATATACATACTATACAATAAATATAGTAAAATAAATAAATTGATTAATTAATAAAATCCCAATCAGACGGAAGCCTTCGGCAGGAGAGAACAAACGGCCGAAGTTTAGCGGGAAGGGGAAAAAACCAACGCACTTTGCGACCGGTATTGATGAGCACCGCCTACTGCATTTGAACACTGAGCGGTCCGTCACGAAATACCAGTCGCTTCAAATGACTCGAGAGATTGACCAGAAACGACCACAGGCAATTTCAGTCAGCAAACCAACCCAACCCACATGTAGGTTACCTCGCGATCCAGGTCCGTATATTTTGTTCGCTTATCTGTTTCGTCTTTCACGAATTTCTCGTTATACGAAGTGGTAATGTATGTACTATATCCGGTCCATCAACACAATATCAGGATTATTAGCAAGAATAGTCCGGTACATAA